CCAGCACAGCTCTGGTTTCCCAGCCTATCCTGACTGATATGACCACTCTTCACTCTGTACCATTGTGACCTCTGTCATGACACCATTGTATTTATTTATCTATTTATTCACTGTCTTTCCATCCACTAGAGTATAAGCTCCAAGAGGCAGGGACTGCATCTGTCTTTTTCATTGATGGATCCCCAATCCCTAAGATAATGCCTGGCACATAGTAGGTGCTTAGTAAAATTTTACTGCAGGCGTAAATAAATTAGTAGCCAAACCAAACATATACAAGAGATGAGAGAAAGCCTAAGGAGCATGTGACAAGTAAAAACAGTCTGAAATAAAAGCCAGAAAGGTTTTTCAAGTCACACAGCAAATCCTCCTCTGTCCTCCAAGCCAGGCCTCTTTCCACGCTAGGTTTGTAGCCAGGCCTCCATAGAGGCCTTTGGCCTCAGATTTTCTGGAGCAGAACGAGCAGAACTTGACATTTAGTTAAAAGGAAATCCTGAAAGCAGCCGAGGGTGAGAAACTGGGTTGCTAAGAAACCCCCAAGGATGAGGGAGAGGGTTGATCCATTGCTAGGCAACTCAGAAGCAGCTAGACGGCAGGTTTGCCCACAAACACACTTCTCCCTCCTTTTCATAGATCTGAGAGTGCCAGGGTGGGTTGCTCTTGGAGACTTCTAGTCCAACCACCCACTCGTACAGCTGGGGAAACTGAGGCCTCCAAAGGCAACACGAGGGCTGGGGCTGGGGCTCAGTGGCAGAGCACTTGCCTAGCACATGTGAGGCACTGGGTTCGATTCTTAGCACCTCATATAAATAAATTAAATAAAAGTATTGTGTCCATCTTCAACTAAAAACAAACGAACAAGAAAGCAACATGATTAGCCCAAGGCCCCTCCAATTCCTCAGAGAGCAGAGCCAATCGGCTTGACCTGGAGTCTCAGAGCCCAGCCAGAGAAGGAGCCAACTGCAAAAGGCCTGGAACTCCTCAAGGTCAGGAACTTCAGAGGTATCCTGAGGGTGAAAAGTTTTCAGCCAGGGTCAAAAAAGACCCTCAGGCTGCAGCGTGGGGACCCAGGACAAGATCCAAACACCTTCAAGGCCTTGGTGGCCTGGGCTGTCCTTGGTCTTCCCTGACTGCGCAGGAGTGTGGAAAGCCTCCTCCCCTCGCCCGCCTTGCCCGACTGTCCCAGTAACCACTCTTTAATTTTAAACGTGTCAAGTTTAAAGGCAATAACAAACCGCCCCCAACTCCCAAGTGGGAACAGCTGCCCTTTCATTACGCTCAAGATTCTGGGGCGGTTTTGACAACAGAGTGACGAGCACCATGAGAGGGGAACAGTGGTCCGATGGCAGCTCCAGGTCAGAGCTCCAGGTGGGGCCACAGGGCGGTTGTCAGGGCAGAGCAGGCCACGCTGATGACCTGGAGCCATTCAAAGACTGGAGCCCAGGACAGGGTCCGACTCATCAGGTAGCCAGACCCCACGGGTGGCCCTGGGAAACAAGACACTGGGCACAAGGACAGGCGAGGGGCCAAGGAGGCGGCTGGTGCAGGACGCCAGGCCAGGGCTGAACCAGGAGGACTTGGAAGGACTCAGAGGTGGGAGGGCTCCGGCCACATTTTGAAGGGAGAACCGACAGATCTAGGGGATATGAAGCTCTGAGGGAAAGAGGAGTCGACAGCGCAAAGGCTGGCCTTGTAGTTCACGCTGGACCTGGAGACCAAGGCGGGGAGAGGGCTGGGATCACTGTGGAAATGAGCATTTTTAAACGTGTGGAGTTTGAGGCAGCGATGAGACCTCCAGTGGTCACACAAGGCCGCGGGTCTGGCAATATGGGGGTAGGGAGACTCAGGAATCCTCGGCTGATAAACAGAATCCTAAGATGGCCCTCAATCCCCAGCCACTGGTGTTCAGGCCCCACATAACCTGCTCCCCTTGAGTGTGGGGAAATCTAGCATGAAGGATGTCACTTTATTTATTTTGGTACTGAGAGTTGGACTCAGGGGTGCTCTACCACTGAGCTACATCTTCAGCCTTTTTTAAATCCTTTTTTTGGAAACAGGGTCTTACTAAGTTGCTAAGGTTGGTCTAGAATTTGCCATCCTCCATCTCAGTCTTCTCAGTCATTAGCATGTGCATGTGTCACATGCCCAGCACCAGTAGACTTCCAAAAATGATCTTATACTGGATATGGTGACACATGCCTGTAATTCCAGCAACTCAGGAGGCTGAGGCAGGAGGATTGCAAGTTTGAGTCCAGCCTCAGCAACCTAAAGAGGCCCTAAGCAGCTTTGTGATACCTTGTCTCAAAATAACAAATAAAAAGGGCTGTGGATATAACTCAGTGGTTAAATACCCCTGGGTTCAACCCCTGGTACCACCACCACCACCACAAACAACAAACCATCTTAAAACCTTCTGTGAGGCAGGTGACTCCAAACAGCAGAAAGATTCTCTGCTATCTCTGACAAAGGGCAATGTTGTGAGAGGCCTGGTGACAGGGCCATGTGGTAAGACACTGTGAGCAGCTCTCAGGGCTTAAGGGTGGCACCAGCTGACAGCCAGCAAAGTTCCAGGAGACTCTGTCCTAAGACAAAGATCCAAATTCTGCCCACAATCACTTGAGTTGGTAAAAGGATGCTGAGAACCAGAAAGGAATGCACATCAGCCAATACCTAGGCAGCTGCCTTGAGATCTGAGCAGACCCAGCTAGGGCAGCCCAACACCTGACCCAGACTGGAAAACAGTAAAGGCATATATATACGTATGTATGTTTAGTTGTAGGTGGACACAATACCTTTATTTACTTTTTATATGTGGTGCTGAGGATGGAACCCAGGGCCCCACACATACTAGGCGAGTGCTCTATTGCTGAATCACAACCCCAGCCACATGCACCTTGTTTTTAAGCTGCTAAATTTCTGGCAACTTGTGACACAGTAACCAATGTTAACATATGGGTGTTTTTAAGCCTTGGAACTAAAATGGCTGAAACTGCCGAGGGAAGGGACTCGACCCAGCAGTGACTCAGTGACTGCTTGAATGGATTTAGTTCCTTATTGTGGGACACACCCCAACGCCCCTCTCCCAGCAGCCCAGAATTTGCTTTCTGCTCCTCTCTGCCGCTAGGTGTCCCCAGAGTCCCTGTAAGCTGGTGTCTTCCCTGCCTTTTAGCATCTGAAATGGAAGAAACCAGAGTAAGAGGTGGTGTGGAGTCGGCCCTTGCCCACTTTATATAGGGGACACTAAGGCCCTCCAAGGGAAGGAGACTTGCCCAGGCCCACAGCTTGGGCACTGTCTCTGGTCGGGTGTTTGACTTCCCTCCCAGGCAATTACGAAGGACAGACACCTTTTTGATCATCTCTTTCCCTCCTGCTCTGGGGAGGGACTTTGGGATTTTATGAGCTGAGGCTTCTATTGGGGGCTGACTGGTGGGCAAACTTGGAAGGGGGCACCTGTGGGTTTGGTGCTGATGGTGTGGGTGAAGGAAGAAACTGGGGATGGCCAAGGTGCCCAGCTGCCATTGCTGGGTCAGTGGCCCAATTCCCTTTGTCTAGCCCTTGACCCCTCAACTGCAGACAGGTGCCTCCAGAAACACACAGAGACGGAGTTTGGGGTGCAAGATGTTTATTAGGGAAATAACACCTGTGAAAAGAAGAGGATTGGGCACAGGAAGAAGTCAAACTGTGCTGCAGGCCCGATAAAGCCCTGGCTCTTCTGGGGTGGGGACTGGTATCTGCCTGGCACTGGACCCAAATGGCCAGGCATATACAGGACACTTTGCTCAGATCCCAGGGCAGGCTGCCCAGGAAGGGTGTGAATTCTCTGACCCTGAAGGAGTAGACACGTGGAGACCACTGACTCTACCTCCCACGGCTGGGAAAGCCCTTCCTCGAAGGGGCCTCCAAGCACGTTTCCTGCCTGTCTCCCCAAAGCTCCTCTTCCTACAGGATTTCTTCCCAGCTCGATTCCAGCCAGAAAGGCTAAGGAAACACTGGTGATTCCCACACCCAGTCTTGGCTCCTTCAGGGGAAAAAAAGCTTTGTCTGATCTTAGAAATTGACTAGATCTGATGAAAAAAGAATTAGTGGCAGGGGTCTCAGGAGGACAAAGGAGGGAAAGGCCTTGGTCTCAGTTTCCACAACACCAGTCAGAACCTCAAGGGGAGGACCTGCAGTTTCTGCCCTCTGCTCCTTCAGTCTACACTGCAGGCTGTGAGCCAGGCCCAGCTAGCAGCCTAATAGCCCCGGGGATTCCCACCGGGAGGAGAGGCGGTGCCTCTGGACACTTTGCCAGGAAGCAGAAGCAGATCTCTGGCCTCTGCTGGCTGTAGGCCCCCTGCAAGTCGCTTTGCCACCCAACCCTTGGGCTCTCCCTCGGGACCAAAGCCTGGCAAATGCTCCTCACAGCAAACCTTGCTTCATCCTGAGAGGCAGGTAGCAGGGTTATCCTCACCTTCCACAAATCCAAAGAGCTGAGAGGAAGTTAATTTGCTCAAGGTCATGAAGGCGTTCAGTGGTGGAGCTGGGCTTTGAGCACAGGCAGCCGGGGCCAACCTGCTTCTTAATCCTGAGGACAAGGTCAAACTGACCCATTTAGGTGTGACCTGTCCACATACATTGCATCTGGCCCACAGTAATTTTTTACAAAGTCAAGCCAGCTTTCATTTTGAAATGACTCAGAAACATCTCCAGCTTCTCTTGAAAAGTCTGGCTACAGACAGCTTTCCCACATCACCACAACCGGGAGTGGCCACCCTTGAATTAGGTCATGATGTCGGTGCCCACCCAGACTCACCCACTCATTGATGTTACCTGCCTGGCCACTGGAGGGACGTGTCTGCTGTCCCTCATGAAGGCAGGGAGTCCTGAGATGGAGACAGTGGCCCAGAGAAACCAGGTGCTTACCATGAGACAACCAGCTCTTCCTGTACGGAATGAATCCTATGGAGGTGAATCTGGCCAACTGGGGGAGGGTTGAGGAAAGCACAGACATGCAGAGCCACAGGGCGAGGTCGGGGCAAATACACTTTATTCAGTCCTGGCATCAGACTGGCGGAAGTCCTGCTGTGGGTGCCAGTGCCCCAGACGAGGGACCCCTCCCTCAGCTACGAGACTAGTTCTCCAAGACCACAGACAGAGACATCTCTTCACTCACATGACGTTTTGTTTTTTTTTCATTGTCTTTTTTTTTTGTTGTTGTTGTTGTTTTCTTAAAAAAAAAAAAAAAAAAAAAGAGAGAGAGAGAAAGAGAGAAAGAAAGAGCGCAAGAAAGGCCCAGAGCCGGAGCACCAAGCTTAAAGGAGGCAGCTGGTGGCTTTGTCAGCGAAGGGAACGCGTGGGGCAGAGACCTGCGGAGACCCTGGGCAGGGGTCCCGGAGGACTCTGGGACCGTTTGTTCCTGAGATTTGTGTGTGTGAATGAGAGTGTGTGAGCACCCGGAGGGTGAACCCACGCCGGTGAGATACAGGTAGTGAGGGCGGAGGGGGTGTGGGGAGGCCGGAGGGGCGGGGCTCGAGAGGGGGAGAAGGGGAGAGGGTAACAGGATGGGGGCAGGGTTCCCAAGGGCACCCTGAACAGGACATAACTTCCTAATTTCCTCCTAACAGCAGCGCCAACCCCGTTTCCCACGTGGAAAACAGACGCAAACGCCCACCTCCATTCCCCTGAACCCATCCTCAGTCTCCGGCCGACCGGCGGTCTCTCTCAAGCCGTTGTTTAGACGTGGGTCTCTTTCCTGCCACTCCATCTGCTGTCACGCCTCAGTCCCAATCCCCTAGCACCAACGTGCTTTAGTTTCTCCCACTGAATACTGCAGCTGTGGTTGTTGAGGGTGGATCTGGATGGATTTAGGAAGGGGCCGTGGGCTTAGGAAGGAGCTGAGAGGGTGCCCTGAGATGATAGGGCGCTTCCCCACGGGGAAGGGAGCAGCAAGAACCCTGTCCCCAGACTAGTAGGCATCTTGGTTCTGAGTTATCATGAACAGTCCCTCTCTAGGTGGATTTCCAGAGAAAGACCCCATTCTTAATTTCCAGTTGGGACAAATAAAAGGGTCGTTTCTGGGGACCACATTAGGCTGTAAAGGCAATCGCGCAATTGGAGGAGGTGATAGGCGAGGGTGCCCACAACAGGGAAAAGGGGCTATGCCACTTAAAAAGAGTTTGAAGCCCAAAGCAACCCTTTAGGGCCAGTTAGTTTCTTTCTCTCCCTTCCGAGTGCTTCTCCCATTAAGGCAGTGACACCCCGTCGGTTGAGACGAAGCCACAGGCTCCAGGATCAAAGATTTTTTAGGATAGCTCTACACTCGCTGCCCTCCTCCACCGAGCAGGAGACATAAGCTAGCAGCTCAACTGGGACCAGCCCCCTCCTCCCAAGAAGCATTAAGCATGCGCAAGAAGGGGATGGTCCAAGCGGAGGGGGCGGGCCCTAGCGCTCCCCAAGTAAAGGAGTGCGCCCCTCCCCCCGGGGGGGAGGGGCACGAGAGGAACGCGCGGAGCTGCCCGGTCGCATCGCCCCCTAACCGAGAAGGCAGGCAGAGGGCGGAGGGATTCGCGAGCAAGGGAGGGGGCGTGTCCTCCGGCCACGAGGAGGGGCGTGTGCAAAGTGGGGGAGGGGTTCAGGTCTGTAAGAGGGATGGGAGGTGTATCGGAGGGGGGCTGGCTGCTGGTGGCTGTGCGGGAGGGGACAAGATGGGGAGGGGCTTGGATGTCAGGGGAAGGAAGGGGGGTTGGGTTGCCTTGGGGAGTGTCTGCGGGGGAGGGGTATGTCTGGATGGGGGGGATGGGCACGTCTAGGAGGGGGGAGGCTGCGCGGGAGATAGGGTGCCAGCCTCGGCCTCCGAGGGGCCCCAATACCTGATTCCTGTATGTAAACAGCTGGTTTGGGGGCGTGCGCGCCCCGCTGACGGTGGGCTCAGTAGGTGAAAACCAGGTCGGCGATGCTAGACGGGCGCCAGTCCCCTGCGATCATCTCGGTAACCTCGGGGGTGCAATAGTCCGGGAATTCGAAGTGTGACGTGCCCGAGGCGGGCGGCAGGTCCGGGTCGCGGTCCAGGGCGCTGCAGTCCAGGCCGGCGGGGCCCGGGGGCAACCTGGACAGAAAGCCCAGCGGCTCCTCCCCCGACGCCACCGTCTCATCTTCGCCTTCTTCCACCGCTGCCGCCTCCTCCTCCTCTTCCTCTGGCTCCTCGTCCTCCGACGGTGTTGGGGAGGTGGTGGTGGCAGCCGTCCCCTCGCCCGACGGCCCTTGGGCGCGTTCAGCTTGTCCTCGGGCGGCCCGTCCCGCCGGGACCATCCTCCACAGCTCCCGCCCAGGGGTCTCGACCAGGCGCACTTCCAGCAGCTCTTCGTCGTCGTCCTCGTCGTCGTCCTCTGGCGCCGCCGCGCCGCTCCCCAAAGGCCCTCCCGCCGCTCGGCGGCCCCCGCGGCCCGGCAGCTGCGGCCCGGGCTTGAGCCGGCTGCCGCCGCCGCCGCCACCACCGCCGCCGCCGCCGCCGGGGGGGCGGGGCCGCGCCTTGGCGGGCGCCCCCTTGCTCTTTTTGCGCGGCCGGTACTTGTAGTCCGGGTAATCCGCCATGTGCTTGAGGCGCAGCCGCTCCGCCTCCCGCACGAACGGGATCTTCTCCGAGTCCTGCAGCAGCTGCCAGCGGCGGCCCAGGCGCTTGGAGATCTCGGCGTTGTGCATGTCGGGCCACTGGTCCATGATCTTCCGCCGCTCGTGCTGCGACCACACCATGAATGCGTTCATCGGCCTCTTGATGTGGCCGCTCGGGGTCTTGCACCAGCCAGGCTCGCGCGCCCCTTCCTCGGCCGGCCCGGGCCCCGGGGTCGGCGGCCCGCCGTCCCGCTTGGCCCGCGCGCCCCGCTGCTGCACCATCGCGCCTGGGCCCCGGGCCGCTAGACGCCGCCGGGGGCCGTCCGCATCCTCCGCGGCTGGGGGTGGGGGAGGAGGCAGCAGCGACGGAGGGGCGGCCCCGCCCCGCGGCTCGGCCCGGCCCCCGCGAGCTGGGGAGCGAGGAGCTGGGCGCTTGGGCCCAACGGACGGCGGGGGGAAGAAGGTCAGCGGCGCGGTTTCAGGCGGGCTCGGCGCGCCCCCGCCGCCCCGAGCAAGTTGCGCCCTGCCGCACGCCACACATTGTTTTGCGGGGGCGGAGGAACTGCACCCCCCAGCCCCCCGCGGGCTCCTCTTGCAGCCTCGGGCTCCGCCGCGGCCCGTGCGCGCCGCTCCCCGCCCCGCCGCCGCCTTCCAGTGTCTTTCTCCCCGCGCGGCCCCGCCGGCGCGCGCGCCACCCCTCCCCCTCGCCGTCTGCGGGCCGCTGCGGCGCGCGCGGGGCCGCCCCGTGTAAACACCGAGGTGCCCGCTTGGGCTGCGGCCGGGCCACGCCTCGCGCTCGAGCGTCGCGTCACCCGTTGCCGGGCAGAGAACCCTGTATTTGCATCTCCCAATCGCTGGCCGCGGGAGCGGGGCGGGACTCGGGCTGCGGGGTTGGGCGGTCTCGCGCCTGGGATTGGGGGAGACCGATGAGATCTGTTTCTTTTCTTAGGTTGGGGGCTGGAGGGAAGGTGGGGGGGACGCCGAGCGTGTTTTCCATCTGGCTCTCAAAGCTGACCTCGCTCCGCTTTGCCTTTGCAGTTTTAGCTTATTCAGTGACACCTGTCGCCAGGTAGGACTCCCGTCCCCCTTCTCATTGGGGGACATCTTTCGAACCGCCCCAGAAGAGAATCTGGGGAGACCAAGACTCAAAAAGCGTAGGGGTATAGGTCTGCCCTGTCATTGACGTAGCCCCTGCTACTACACATAGCCGGGTGCAGCCGACAGATGGGCGTAGTCAGTGCCTCCGGGCCCAGTGAACGAATCCCCTTCTTTCTCCTCTGAGGCGCCACAGGATCTTCAGGGAGTTATGACGCCCGCTTCTGAAAGACGAAACCCCGCGGACACGCACACTCGAATCCTGGGCTCCGCGTCCCAGCGCTCTCTGTAGCACACCAAGGGCCGCGGCCATCGGTGTTCTGGACCTGAACAGGCTTGAGCTTTTCCCAGGCCTGAGGCGAGGTTCGAGGACGCGTAGATACCCAAGTCCCAGGTCGCGCCCCGCGTGCGGCCGGCGAGGTGCGGGCCTCGGGCACGGCGCCCCGCCCAGGCCCCGAGCCGCGTGCAGGGGCGCGGGGCGGAGTCTGCCCTGGGGGCGTGGCCCAGCCGCAGGCCCGAAGCGCGTGGCTGGGAGGGGCTGCGCGCGGCCAGTTCACCACGTGAGAGCGGGTGCTGGCCCCACCCGCGTGTGCCACCCCCGGGGGAGGTCACCTTCACCGAGTTGTGGGAGTGGGCGCTGAGGCCTCTATCCTGGAAAGCAGGAGCTGGCAGGGGTCGGGATTAGGGCCTCAGAAGTGGCATTCTCCTGGGGTACGGTTGGCGGGGACGCGCCTCTGGCGGTAGAGCTCACCCCGCTGGGCGAGCCCAGACCGAGTCCAGCTTGAGGGTGTGGGGCCGGGAGGGTGGGCCGAGGTGCGGCTCCGCGGCGCGGGGGACGGGGCGGTGCTCTGGGTGCTCGGGTGGGTAGTTGGAGCATCCCCGATGGGAGGGGGCGACTCTTAAAGGCACCGTGCGTTCGTTGGAAGGCTCTGCTTCCGCCCACATGCTTTCCCCACCTTGTTGGGATTAAGAGCTGGAAATCCCTGTATCTGAATCTTCAGGATTGCAGCCTGGGCGGTTCATTGTTCAAATGGTTGTCAGACTACCTGTGTTCAGGTCCTAGTGCTTCCTTTTGCTTATCCTTAAAATACAGATAATGCAGTTTTTCCCTCCTAGGTTTGTTTTTACAGATCAAATAGGATTAATGGATGTAAACACACACCCCTGATGTCTACTATGTGTTCTGTTAAAGTTCGCTGGGACTAGATTTCCCAATAGTTACACAAGAACAGCAATGCAGAGCTGCCAGCAGCATGAGAAAAAAAAAAGTTGGGATGGGGATGGATTTAACATTCAGAAAAGGTATCATAGTAGTGATGAAAAAAATAAAACTTTCTTGAAGTTTCTAAAACTTTTCCACTTAATATTAATTATTTTAAAAAATAAATGACATATGTTGTGCAGAGCCCTCTCTTCAGTATTTAGGAGGCCCTCCAGCAGGCTTTCCTTGACCCCTTAGCTGCCACTATTATTATTCCAGTGTATCTGGATAGTTCTTAGACTTAGATTGATTTGGCCAGGGTTCTCAGCTGGAAAGATGAGACATCCATTAGTCCACCATTCTTTCCTCCCTCCCTTGTTCCATACGTGGTGTATCTTTCTGTTGAACACACATTTTTTTTTTTAAGAGAATTTTTTTTTTTAATATTTATTTTTTAGTTATTGGCAGACACAACATCTTTGTTTGTATGTGGTGCTGAGGATCGAACCCAGGCCACACACATGCCAGGCAAGCGCGCTACCGCTTGAGCCACATCCCCAGCCCGAACACACATATTAATAATTACTATTCTGTAGGCCCACTGAAGGATGTTGGGGAGCTCCAGATTGTTCAAGTTTTGTCAGTCTAGGCCCCTAAAACATCCCTGCTGTGTGGCCACCAGGACACATTCACACAGACAAGATGGCATGAGAGTTCAATGAGGATGATATATCTACACTTTTTATTTTAATTTTCCCTTAACAGACTAACCAGTAGGGTTACAGAACCCAGTTGGGTTACAGAAGTTTGCAAGATAGAATTTGGTTGTTTTGGGGTGGGTTTTTGTTGCTGCTGTTGTTTTGTACCAGAAATTTAATCCAGAGGTGCTTTATTTTTTTTATTTTTTGAGACAGGGATTCCCAAAATTGCTTAGGACCTTGCTAAATTGCTGAAGCTGACCTCAAACTTTAAATCCGTCTGACTCAGCCTATTAGTTGCTGGGATTACAGGCATGTGCCACCACATCTGGCTCTGTAGATCCTTAAGAGATACTTGGGGATAACTGAAAGGACCGGATGAACAAATAAAACCCTTTCACTTAGTTGTGCTATAAAGAAAATAAAGCAAGGTAATAGAGTGGATGACTGAGATTGAGGGGATGATGGAGATTAGGGGTGAGTTTAGATCTCAAAAAAGATAAGGAATCATCTACAAAAAGATCTGGGGCAGGGAGAACATTCCAGGCAAAGGAAAGAGCAAATGCAAGGGGATGGAAATGAGAAAGAAATAGGGGTAAGGTATTGAGGGATATTCCAGGCATGGAAAGACTACAAAACCAGAGACCTTATGTACCAGCCATACACAGGAGCAACTGGAAAGACCTGGGGCCCCAGGGTAATATAGTGATTAGGCCTTAGAAAATTATGTGGAGTCAGGGAAAGTTTCTTAGTTGCAGGGTATTATAATCAGAGTTGTGCGTTAGGTAGATGACGGTTTCATATCTTGTGGATGGATTGGAGGAGAGAAATTTGGAAAGGGAACGATCACATATTTTTTGAAACAAAAAATATGTGTACAGTCTTTGCTATTCTAATTCTTCCTCCCCTCCCCCAGTGAAGTGCAACTGTACCTAGTGGCTTGCTTCTGATGAATAGAATGTGGCAGAAATGATGCTGTGTGACATCTGTGATAGGGCGCAGGTTTTGTGATTTCCTCCTTGCTTTCTATCTTGTATTGTGTTTTCTGGGAGAAGCCAGCTGCCATGTTGTGAGGACACACTCAAGCAGCCCTGTGGGAAAGCTCAAGTGGCAAGGGACTGGGGCCTTCTGCCAACAGCCATGTGAGTGTGCCATCTTGGAATAGATCCTCCAGCCCCTTTTTAAGTCAAACCTTTAGAGGACTGCGGCCCTGGCCGGCATCTTCACTGTGGCCTCCTGGGAGACCCTTAGCTGGAACACCCAGCTAAACTCTTTCCAGATTGATGATCTACAGAAACTGAGATGGTGTTTGCTTTGTTAAGCCTCTAAGTTTGTGAATAATATATTATGTAGCCAGTAGATATAGTAGAACCCACTTATCCTAGGGGATACCCCTCAAGACTCCCAGCAAATGCTTAAAACTGTGGTTAGTACCAAACCCTGCATTTATATTTTTTCCTGTGTATTTGTTAAATACACAAACTTAATACCTTTTCCTTTATCACCAAGCACTTATGCACTGTGGGTGTAATTTTTGCAGTTTGAGGTGTAGAAGCAAAACTAGCATGAATTTCTTTTCCTTCTTCACAATTTTCATGGATAGCTAGTTTGTTCTTACCATAAAACTTAGCAACCTCAGCAAATAATTGTTTGTTTTTCCTTATTAAGTTCAGAACATTCACCTTTAGGAACATTCATTTATAGGAAGCATTTTGTGGCTTCTCCAAATTTAGAGGAAAAAGAATTTGGTGGGATCCATTGTCTTAATGCCAAGAAATACCCACTTTATTATTTTTTTTTCTTGAATATTCTTTTAGTTGTAGATGGACGTGATACCTTTATTTTATTTATTTATTTTTATGTGTGCTGAGGATTGAACCCAGTGCTCACACGTGCTAGGCAAGCACTGTACCACTGAGCCACTAGCCAGCCCGGGCCCCACTTATTAATAATTGGGGTTTTTTTGTTTTGGGGGTTACCGGGGATTGAATCCAGGTCCTCTCACATGGTAGGCAAGCACTCTTTTTATTTATTTATTTTTTAGGCAAGCATTCTTTTTTTTTTTTTTAATATTTATTTAGTTATCGGCAGACACAACATCTTTGTTGGTATGTGGTGCTGAGGATCGAACCCAGGCCACACACATGCCAGAGGATCGCACTACCGCTTGAGTCACATCCCCAGCCCCCAGGCAAGCATTCTTAACACTGAAATATACCCCCAAGCTTTTATTGAGACAGTCTCATTCAGTTGCCCAGGCTGGCCTTGAATTTGCACTCCTCCTGCCTCAGCCTCCCAAATAGCTGGGATTACAGGTGTGTGCCACCATGCCCAGCCCAATTTGGTATTTTTTTCCAGTTATTTTTTTCTTTTGGCACATCTTTTGTTTAGGTGTCTTCATTTTGTTTCCCATAACTTCCAATTAAAACGGTAGCTTGGGGCTGGAATTGTGGCTCAGTGGCAGAGCACTTGCCTCGAAAGTATGAGGCACTCAGTGGGGTTTGATCCTCAGCACCACATGAAAATAAATAAATAAATTAAAGGTATTGTGTCCATCTACAACTAAAAAATTTTTTAAAATGATAACTTGTTCATTTTTCCATATGGCTAGAAACTCCTCACTGGGTTTTTCTGTAATT